CAGGGTAAGATCTACTCATTTATATACTATTAAAAGTCTTTTATTAAACTTGTTTATAGACACAGGTTAAACAACAGCAATAAAGTATTTCCTAAGCTTACCTTTACTGACACATACTGAACATCATAAATACATAATAAATAATAACTATAAGCTATTTTCATCCCATTCCCAACCACTCCCATATACTTTTTTTGCACTAGTAAATTTGAACTGCTCATAAACTCTACAAAGTTCACTCAGGTGTCCTACCTTTTGAACTTGCTGCTCCTCTTTTAAAACTTTCATTCTTCATGGCTGCTGCTTCTGTCAAACATGCAAGCTTGTTAGACATTCCTTCTGCCAAGCATCATCCTACTGCCTCCTTACCTGGAAAAGTTCTACTCACTTTACATGCTTACCCTAAATCCCACCCACATTTTAGAAGCTTGCATTCATTGCCACAAATGTAAAAATGCCTGGCACATACTAAACATAATACACATATGTAATGAATAATAACTATAAGCTCCCAGATGACGTTGGACACACAGTAAGCACTACATAAGGGAGTAAACAGAATAAATGACAATGGTAACAACAATCTCCTAACCGTATTTTTAAAATGTCTTTTGTAACGTTGGAGAAAAATTCTTAGTCCATAAAAGACACATGATAGTTTTTTTTTAAGTGGACAAGTGTATGAATGAATCAACATATTTTTCTTAAAAATTTCGTAGAAAAAATACAAAAATTAAATAGTTATTTGTATTTTGTTATGAACACCTTGAAGACAAAAAGCTATGTCAATTTCATCTTTTCCTTTTGCAATTTGCCAAACCTAACTTATAGAAGTGGTTTAATAAGTATGTACTAAATTTAAGGGGTCTTTATACAGTTCAGATGGCACAATGTATTAGGTGTTACATTTTTGTTACTGTGAACCATTTTTATAATTTTATTATAATATTTTGAACCCAGAGTTTGGCTATTGGAATATTTATTATGATCACCATTTGCCTAATGGTCACAGAGTACCCTTTTTTTTTGTCTTCCAGATGGGAGTCTGAGTGCAGTTGTGCAATCTCGGCTCACTGCAATTTCCACCTCCTGGGCTCAAGCAATTCTCCTGCCTCAGCCTCCCAAGTAGTTGAGATTACAGGTGACTGCCCCCATGCCTGGATAATTTTTGTATTTTTAGTAGAGATGGGTTTCACCATGTTGGCCAGGGTAGTTTCAAACTGATGACCTCAAGTGATCTACCTGCTTCGGCCTCCCAAAGTGCTAAGATTACAGGTATGAGCCACCATGCCGACCCTGGTAACAGAGTATCTTGTTCCAACAAAATCACTATTATTGTGAGAATTATCCAGCATATAATAAAATGCAGCTTGTTCTAAGAAGTAAATATATCTCATGAGATTCCAACTTATGGAGAATGAAGTAAAAAAATAGACCTTGTTTGTATAAGAATACGTAATATAACTTTTACTTCTTGGAAAGGAATTACTTTTCTGCCTTCTGCATTCAATAGGTAACTTCAAAAATAATCTATTTGTATGGGTGAACACTGGCTCAGTTTTATGACTCTTAT